CTATTTCTGCAGATCTCTGCTGCCCTCTTACCATTTTTGTATCCTCCTCTGGCCAAGGAGCTTAGCTCCAGGCTAGTAAGCCCCCAGGGAGTTCTTCTGAGCTCCAAGGTACAGCATGGGTAGCACCACCACCTCCCCCACAATCCCTTCCACTGTCTTCAACCCTGGCCCAGAGGGAACTCCGCTAGGACAGGAGAGGTGGCCATCTGCCCATTCCGTTCTTGGCTTCTCTGCTGAGACTGCCAAGTAGCACCAGTTTTGGGGATTCTTATTCACTAGGAGCGGGACTGAGACCAGGCTCATTCCCAGCTCACTGTTTGACATCAGAAACGGGAACCGCACGAGTGACTACGTTAAACGAAATTAAAGAGAACAGTCACCAGAGGGAAATGCCTGCAAGTTACATGGACACTTAAAAATCCACCATGAGAAAGGATCAAATTAAACGTATACCCCAAATTAACAAACAGTCAGAAGGCCAAGAAATGCCACCATGGCTAAACAGAGGCAAAAAGGCATCCTTTAAAAACTGGAAGTCAAACCCTACTGTGGAAAATAGAAAGGACCACAAATTCTGGCAAATCAAGTATAATTAGGCAGGTAAAGAGTTGAAGAGCAACTAGCAAAAGACTAACAGAAAAAAATAAATTAATTACATCAGAAGCAGGAAGCCTGCCAGACAATCAGTAGGGCCACTAGACAGTGGAAGTGCTAAAGGAGCACTCAAGGAAGACCAGGCCTTTTCGGAGAAACGAAATGAATTCTTTGCATCAGTCTTTACTGCAGAGGATGTGAGGGAGATTCCCACACCCGAGCCAATCTTTTTAGGTGACTAATCTATCGATCACTTCAATCTGGGACAGTTCCTCAGAGTGGTCTTGGAACAAATTGATAAATTAAACAAGAAGAAGTCACCAGGACCAGATGGGATTCACTTAAGAGTTCTGAAGAAACTCCAATATGAAACTACAGAACTACTAACTGTGGTATGAAACCTATCACTTAAATCTGCCTCTGTACCAGATGACTAAAGGATAGCTAAATGTAATGCCAATTTTTAAAAAGGCTCCAGAGGCGATCCAGGCAGTTACAGGTTGGTAAGCCTAACTTCAGTACCAGGCAAACTGGCTGAAACTATTGTGAAGAACAGAATTAATCAGACACATTGATGAACACGATTTATTGTGGAAGCGTCAACATGGCTTTTGTAAAGGGAAATCATGCCTCACCAATCTACTAAAATTCTTTGGTGGGGAGAGTCAAACATATGCACAAGTGCAATCCAATGCATATAGTCTACTTGGACTTTCAGTAAGCCTTTCATGGAGTCCCCTCACCAGAAGCTCTTAAGCAAAGTAAGCTGTCATGGGATAAGAGGGAAGGTCCTCTCATCAATCAATCACTAGTTAAAAGATAGGCAACAAAGGGTAGGAATAACTGGTCAGTTTTCAGAATGGAGGGAGGTAAATAGTAGGGTCCCCCAGGGATCTGTACTGGGACTAGTGTGGTTCAACATTCATAAGTAGTCTAGCAAAAGGGATAAAACAGTGAGGTGGTAAAGTTTTCAGCAAATACAAAATTACTCAAGATAGTAAAGTCCAAAGCAGCCAGTGAAGAGTTAGAGGGATCTCACAAATCTAGGTGACTGGGCAACAAAATGGCACATGAAATTCACTGTTGATAAATGCAAAGTAATGCATATTGGAAAACAATCCCAAATATACGTATGAAATGGGGTCTAAGTTAGCTGTTACTACTCAAGAAAGATCTTAGAGTCCTTGTGGATAGTTCTCTGAAAACACCCATTCAATGTGCAGCGGCAGTCAAAAAAATGCTAACAGAATGTTAGGAACCATTAGGAAAGGTAAGACAGAAAATATCAGACCACCTCTATATAAATCCATGCTTTGCCCACACCTTGAAGATGGTGTGTGGTTCTGGTCACCCCATCTAAAAAAAAAAGCTGTATTAGAAACGCAAAAGGTACAGAAAAGGGCAACAAAAATGAGTAGGGGTGTGGAACAGCTTCCCTGTGAGGAGAGATTAAAGAGACTGGGACTGTTCAGCTTGGAAGAGATGACTAAGGGGAGATGATTGAGGTCTATAAAATCATGAATGAGATGGAGAAAGTAAGTGTTAGTTACCCCTTTGTTTAACACAAGAACCAGGGGTCACCCAATGAAATTAATAGGCAGCAGCTTTAAAACCAAACACAAGGAAGTACTTCTCCACACAATGCACTGTTAACCTGTGGAACTTGTTGCCAGGAGATGTTGTGAAGGCCAAAAGTGTAATTGGGTTAAAAAGAATGAGAAGTTCCTGGAGAAAAGGTCCTTCAATGGCTTTTAGCAAGATGGTCAGGGATACAACCCCATGCTCTGGGTGCCCCAAGCCTCTGACCGCCAGATTCTGGGACTGGATGATAGGGGATCGATTACTTGATCAATTCTGTTCATGCCCTCTAAAGCATCTGGCCACTGTCAGAAGACAGTATGCTGGGCTAGATGAACCACTGGTGTGACCCAGCGTGGCCATTCTTATGTTCTTAGCCACCAGGAGGAACTTGGGTCCCGGACTTGAGCCAATGCTCTGGCTGGGTAGGTGTTCACAGGCACACACTGCGCTGTTAGCTGAAGTGAAAAGCTCTTACCCTGTTACTCCAAGCAGTGGGATCCATGACCCAGGAGCTGACCTGCACTGCTCAGCTCAGAGCCAGAGGCAGACAGCTAAAGGCTGGGAGTGAGGGCCTTAAAGGAACACTCTAAGCCCAAAGGGCAGCATGCCCTCTATTTCCAAGACATGGGCAAACACTCCCCTAAAGTTACATTGCCCAGTCAGGGAAGCAGTCACGTAAGCAGTGGGAATGTGGCACATTAGCTGATTAGTTAACTAATGGTTCGTACAACGCAGAGAAGAATGTGGGGGGAAAAAATCCCACCGTGTTTAGTACAAACATTCTGCTGCTATCTGTAAGTCCTTGGAGGTGCCATTTCTACTTGCTATGCCCCATTTCCTTTGGGGGCCCAGGACACCATCCATCAACAGAGAGCGAGAGTCTGTCAGAGTTGCAGGGCAGCGGTCACCCTGCTGCTGGTCTTGTGGGCAGGCCTGGCGTATGTTACGTTATGAATGCCGACATGATGGCCACCACTGCCTTCTGCTCAGGGCAATCAAGTGCTTCCCTTTGGCGGGAGGTGGTCTTAAGGAGGGTACGCACAGAGGCCTGGATTTGGAAGCAGCAGCCCCCACTCGGTGGCACTTTAAACATGAGGGCCGGGTCAGTCTACAGGAGTTTGCTACTATCACCTACCAGATGTGCTGACCAGTTAGAGGCTTGATGGATTCCAGACGCCCCACACTGGCCTTGCAGATAAATAGGATCAAAACAGAACTCTCAGAACTGCTAGCTGCTGGGGGGGGGATTTAGAGATGCCCTTACCAGAAAGGGGGAGTTCAGGCAGGGCATCATTTCCTACCTATGGGGCTTTTCACGACGTTCAGATCGGAGTAGAGTTCTTTCACGATTTCCGACCGGTCTTCCCAGGGCCTGGCTGTCACGTGGCTCTTCCATTTCTTAAACCCAAACTGCGAAGCAGAGAGAGACAAATAAGTCAGACCCCAGGCGACGGCACCTGTCCGGTGCTGCCGTTCCAGAGAGCACGTTCCACTCCTTCCAGCTAGTCCGAAGTGCTGCAGGTGATTTCACAAGGAAGCTACCAATAGGGAATTTTAGAAGAGGCTCTTCGGTTGGTAGGAGGTTATTCCCCCCCCGCCACCGGAGACCATGTTATTGTGTCTGATCAGCCCCCGCCCAACCTCAGCACACATGGGATGTGTGCAGTCACGTGACAGTGAAACTTGCTATTACATTGCAGCCATAACAAACGTGCTATGGGCAGATATACTGAGGGCAAGAGGCAGTGGCTGCCCCACATTAGGATTGTGGTTGCTAATCCACAGGAGGTTTATGGTGACCTGAGACAGTAGTTAGTCTCCTCTGCTCCCTAGGAGGAGATCATACAGGAGCATACAGCTGGCGCTACTCGGACTGACTGGGGAGCCGGAATGCCAGGCTGACTCCAGAGATCAGGCTACAGAGCTGGGGAGGGACTTCTGGCTGGGGTCTCATTTCCATGAGGGCAACCAAACATCAGGATAAAGTTGTCTGGGACTAGCAGACTGAGACCAGCCACCAATCTAGTAGGGACAACTCCCCTCTGCTCACACACCTGATAGCAACCCAGAAACCTCAGTCAACTTCTTTACTGCCCAGCCTGGATGAGAAAGGCAGTGAAAGATCCTGTGTGTGGTCAACACACAACATCAACAGTGAATACCAGAGCCAGTTAATCCTCGCGAACGAGGACAGACAGGGAACCTCGACACTGCAAAGAGCCTGGGTCCACTGACGCAGACTTGTGGGGCTCGGGCTGTGGGATTACAAACAGTGCAGATGTTCCAGGTGAAGGGAAGAGGGTCTGAGCCCAAGTCAATTGAGCTGGGCTCAGACTCAGTGCCAGGGGTTTTTCTTTGCAGTGTAGATGTACCGAAAGGCATGTAGCCTTCCTGTGAGATAGATAGATAGAGAGGGGTGTGTGTGTGTGTGTGTGAGAGTGAGAGTGAGAGTGAGAGTGAGAGTGAGAGTGAGAGTGAGAGTGAGAGAGAATCCAGACCCCAGAATTCCCTGGAGGAAGGGGG